AAATATGAGTCGCCAACTATAAATTAAAAATTCAACAAAAAAGTTAATTTATTCTTCTATTGGAGCAATATTTTTGGTATAAAACATAAATCGTGAAAGTTTAAAATATAGGTATGCAGTACCGTAAATTTATCAGTTTTCATTTTTCGTAATTTTCCGGTTTTTCTCAATTATTACAAAACTACCACTTAAAACTTCACCAAAAAAGTCCCTTGTCATTTTTCTATTGGAGTAATATTTATGGTAGACATGTCCAATATTTTCGGAAAATTCGATTCTATAGTGACGGAGCTGTCAAGTTATATATTTTTTTTTCATTTTCTGTTATTTCCAATGTCTTTTAAGGTTAATCTATTAATCTTAAAAGACTAGTTAATTGAGCTTTAATCAATTTATATACTTGAAATACTAGTGTATTTTAAATATTTGAAACCTTAAGTAAATATTAGAGTAGTAAACAGAATAGTGAAATTTATTATAATTTATAGATAAGACAATTATAAAATGGTTTGATCTTTTTTCTTGTTAAAACTACACATAAAATTATAAAACGATGTGCTAATTCTTATGCGTAGGTACAAGAAAAATAATTAATTTATTAAACGACGTAAATATGCATAATTTTTTTTTTTTGCCTACGATTATCATGATTAATCGTTAAAATGTTTTATAAAAATTTAAAATATGAACAAAACCTAATTAAATTTAAATCGTCGCGGTCGTTATGTAGTAAAGCAAATTAGTTGTTTTTGTTTTGTTTTTAGTCGATTTGATTTATATTTAAAATGTTGTTATAGAATTCGCATGACTACAAAAGTTTATGTAGCATATAGGTGTATTTTGAAAATCATGAAATTTCTATAAAATAACAGTTCAAATAAAGCCTGTAGACCGCATAAATATTTTATTGACGACAGTAGTCAATTCACCATTCAATCATAACAATATTGTTATTATTTTTTATTTTGCCGTCCTGCACAGCCTCTCGTTTGTTAACCTAACCACTGTAGTATTGCACGAACCACACCAGTTCATTTTCTAGCATATCACAAGTATACAGGGTGATTCAATACGATATTTGACAAAATAACCAATAACTTTTATTATTATTATTATTATTATTATTTTTTTTTTTTTTTTAATATTATTCTGATCCTTTACTAAAATAGTTGTTTTTTTAAAGGCTCATAAAAGACATACTGCTGAATGCTTATAAGTATCTCTCTATTTAGGAGGGAAGTTGGAACCGAAAATATATAGAATAATTCAATTTATATCTATATACAACGATAAACCATTTCAAGCAAAAAATGATTCTGAGCAAACAGTTATTAGGTAATTTTATTTTAACTCAGAAATAAATAAAAATATCGGGTTTTCCCATTTATGAAGAAAACTACCAGGTAAATCAAAATAGGTATGACCCCCTCCGATCCACCAACTTGATTAAAAATTCTACAAGACATTTTTCTTCGCGTTTTTGATTGGAATAATATTTTTGATAGAAAAGTTGTTTACAAAAAAAAAAAGAAAAAGAAAAAATATAATTTTAAAACAAATGCATTTCTCACTTCGCTTAAAATCTAGAAATATTACACAATAATTTAATAATAATTTATAAAAAAAAAATAAAATAAAAAATTCAAAATTGTTATTAAACCTGTTTTAAAAAAAAAAAAAAACGTTCGGTGGGTAAACCCTATACGTATATTCATATATTCTCCAAGATTTCTTGAAATGAATGAAAAATGAAAATATTTTGTAAATTAATTTTGGTCTCCTGTTTATTAATATTATTTCGAGATACAAATTAAAAATGTTCTAGTTTATCAACTGTTTTATATTTTACACATTATACCGAATCGCCCTGTATAATGTTCAAAAATAAGGCGTTTTCCTTTCACCTAATATTTTATACTTATAATATATAGTTTATTAGACGGGGATTTTTAATTATAATAACATAATTTATTTATGACGTAACTCTGAAAATTGCTGCACACGCCTAATCGAGAAATTGTATGTTTACACTTATAAATGCATACAATATAGTCTGCGCCTCCGCCTTTGTTGGATTTTTAAATACCTGGTGACTGTACACCTAGGTACTTATTTTTATATTTTATTAATTCTTAAACCGTTTAAGATACAAAATAATTCATGCCGGCATGGGTTATCGGTATATTAAAGTACCTTCTAAAGGGAGTGCAACGTTAGCCGGTAATATTTTTCTCCCGTGTTTGTATCGAGTTTCTCGAGAGAGGTACCTATCATATAATATTTCGATGTTAATAATAATTTTTTTTTTTTTTTTTTTTCTGTAACCCGGTTTGCAAAATATTCGTAATGGGCCACGGTAACTGAATGCAGTCGGAAAACTATAATATACTTTTTCACTCGTACAATATACGTGTTACGTCCGGTGGGTGGTCTCGGCCGTAAAAATCAAAGATAAGAGTCGTATCAGCAACGTATATAATAATATGCACCTTTCACCAAACCGTTTAACATAATTTAAAAAAAAAAAATACTCCGTGACCGCGCATTTTATGAATCATAATAATAACAATATAACGTGCATATGTTAATAGATTTTTTTTTAATTTTTTGTTAAGTTACTCGTGGTTAATCATATACTTATTTAAGGAAACGATAAATCCCGTCAGCCAACGGTTATTTGCATGTGCGCTTAACAAATAAATAAATATAATGAATTTTTCAATGTTTATACAGATAATAGTATTATCATGTTTTACATGTACATATACTTTTGCATAAAAAAAAACGCATATATAGAGAAAGTGTAACGAAACACGATAAAAAAACTTAGGTACCTACAATTATCGGATATTATTTCAATCACGATTATTATAATAAATGCGAATAAACGTCATCAACGTGTAATCTTGAACATTACAACATTATAATATTATACTTGAAAACAGGGTGTTTTGATTTTATAACATTATGTAAAAAACTTATTTGTTGTGATTTTCGATATTCGAATATGACAAAATGTATACAGTATTAAACTTAGATTTTCAAAAGTAATATTTTTTTAACATTTTTTACATAAGATACATTATTATAACCGAACAGCTACACTCGATATTAATAAAGTTAAATGCCTGTTTGTTTATTTGTCTGATCGAATGAACGGATCCACAAATGCTCCTCAAAGCCAGATTTTCGAAATTCAACCCCAACCCATGGTTTTTGGTACTTCAGGAACGAAAAATTTATTTATTTTTTTTTTTTTGTTATTTATGAGCTATCTTAAAGACACAGATAAAAAACAGTTATTATTGGTTAATTTGGTTATCAAGAGTAAGGAATAAAGTATCCTTTATGAAGAGTTTATGTTGTTATAGGTCAGCCTAAAGTCTATAACAATTCGTGTTTAGAATAAAGAAAATGTCTATTTATAAAAAAATGCTTTGATAGATTATACATTTATAAACGAACTATATAAATTAGTATAATTGATTAGCCTTCGGCCCGAATATTAATAAATTTATAGTATGGTGTGTATAATATACATGGACGTTTTTAGGAAAACAAAGAATCGAAAATTAATACCTACCTATTACAGTTTTAACCAACGGCGACGAGAAATTAAATTATTTGAATTATCTACGAAATGAAAACAAAGAATATAGTTGTATACAGACAATCCCGCGATGATGTACCTCTTGAATATCTCCAGGGGATAATGAAGACGATCGGATTGTGATTTTTCTCGTGTAACTCACAGGGACGAGGTCTAAAAATATTTATTTTTGAATTCATTTTTTTTTTTTTTTTTTTTTTTTTTTTTTTCGAAATATTTCCTTTTAGAAACTAACGAATCTCAC